TCTCTCTCTCTCTCTCTCTCTCTCTCTCTCTCTCTCTCTCTCTCTCTCTCTCTCTCTCCGCGCGCAGGTGTGCGCGTACGTGCGAAGCATCCACGTCGAACCACAAAGCGCCAAAACGGCACACAACACAGCCCCGGACAAGTCCGATCGCTTTCACAGCCCGACCGTCGAGATTCGCAGGCACGTGGGTTGGACGGCCGGATAGAAGTATCGGGAACCCGCACAAAAAAAAAAAAAAAAAGGGAACCGTATGTACCCGGTCAAGCCACCGTCCCCAAACAGAAACAAAAAATCGCGAATCGCGAATCTTCTACCCGGCCAGTAAGATCGTCGATCGGGCCCGCACTGGACGGCCCGATAGAAGTTTCGGTGCCGTCCAAGGTAGGCCCTATCCGCAATATCGCCGACGCTCACCGGTTCGGCCCGGCCCCTGTCCCATTCCGTTTCCCAACACTGTATAGCGGTCTCTCGCGGGAGCGTTACGCGAGGACCGCTATTCACTTAAAGAGTGTTAAGGATGAAGCCACAGAATACTGGGCGAGGGCATCTGACCTTTGGGATAGCCTTTTCGTGTCTCCTCTTCCCGAACACCCCCTTCAACTCCTCCTCTGGACTAACTTACTCCCTAACCTCAGCAAATCTGAAAGGATATGGTTTGGAACTTTGGAATGATACACAAGGTCATGCTATGGGCAATTTGGAAAGAGAGATGCAGCAGGACGCTGAAGGAATCCAAGAATCCATGGGAAAAGGTCTGGGCGGCCACCAAAGGTATGATTGAGGTGGAGATTCTATGCCAGTGGAAGAAGGTCAAAATCTGGGTGCAGAACAATCCAGAATCAAAACAGAAGGTGCTTGCGAAGTTCAAGCACAATTGGCTGGCAGGAGGCAAAGTCGCAGGTCTAAATGAGCTCAGTCTGAGGTGGAAAGACTGACATAACTCAGACGTGGCAACAGGTCGAGAGGTTTCCAGGACACAAGATATACCGGCTACTATCTGGGTATAGCAGGGCAACCAGGTGAACAACGGAAGAAGACAGGAACAAGGCACACATGGAAGGAGATTGGCAAGAGAGAGCAGAGAGACCACTGAGAGAACCCATCACAAGAGACTTTTGCGTGTGGACAGGATTGTGCCTCCCTCACAGTCTTGAGCTTTAAGGATACCAGACAGTCAGGGTATACCCTAGCTGAGAGGACGTTGGGTTTAAAGGCAAGCTGACAGTTAATCCTCCACAAAGATGGAGCAATCAATGCTGTTCAGGGTTCCTTCGGCCAGACGGAAGGAAGCGTGTGTATGTATGTTGTTGTACTACCATGACTTGCTGGTGGAAAGGAACCAGACTCATGCTCCCCAGAATGGATATGGAGTCAGGACCATAAGGCCCTGTTTTCGCAAAAAAAAAAAAAAAAAAAAAAAAAAAAAAGATAGTAGATATAGACTATAGTAGAAGTATGATAGTAGATAGTAAATATAGTAGATAGTAGAAGTAGACAATCGGACTCCTTTGACCTAAAATGAGCTCATCAGCTCACATTCATAATACCCCATACTTTTCCAACCACAGTTCATCTTGCCTCTTATTCCAAGGCACACTCTCTGTAAAGGCAGGTGCTAACCTTTCATGCCAATGAATGGCTTGCCCTCTGTAACATATACACTTAAATTGAAGTTATTGAGAGCTCTCAGTGCTGATGAAGTCCTTTATGTATCAGAGATGCCAACAGTCAAATCAAGAACAACAGGTACTACAATTGTCTATTGTTTTTCTTTTCTGTTTTTCCTGGTGGAATAGTCTTTGTCGGTATACCTTGACCGCAAAGATGTCCTTGCGAGATTGGCACAATCCATTCATCATCATGACCTTTTGATCGTTCGACTCTGTGATGTCCGCATTAATGTCTTCGACATCAAGGCAGTTAATGAAAACCCTGTTGTCAGCAACTTTCTCCAGCGCAGCTGCATCCTCTGGAGAATCGCCGCCTACACGTTGCCATGTCGCAGTTAGCTTATCCATATCGATTGAGGGTTTGGCCTCACTTGTTCTCCGCTTAGAGCCACCTTCAAGCTGCTCCATATTTTCGTCTTCCCCTTCTGCCACATTTCTGTCTTCGACATCTGTTGATCCTGCTGGCATGGTGCTTCCGCTCCATCCATGGCCCTCTGGGCTGATCCTCCCACTCTTTGACAACCACAGTTCATCAGCAAGCTCTTCTTCAGTTTCCATGACTTGAATGTTTTCCAAGAGGGTGTTGCTAGTTTCTAGCAGTCGGGCTTGACGCAAGTGCCACACACTTGGCAGGCTGTCCCATCGGAACTTTAGTGCGGTCTCAAGTTCCACCTGGCCGTACTTGTCGAGTCCGCAACTCTGAAACTCAACCTGCTCTCAGTGTGACGCAGACATACAACGAGGGGATGCCAATTTAAGAAGATTCAAGGAATAAAGTTAAGGCCACCATCCGCATCCAGTCAATGTGGCAGAAAGTTTAAGAAAGTTGGGACACCTGTGACAGTTGGAACGATACAGAGAAGAATAGCATGGATCGTGCACAAGGACGACACAAACAAATTGAGAAATGCAGGTGCAGCTCCCCACCAATAGATGGAGCCGCCCTGAGACTAGCTTGAGATGTCTGCTCCTACCAGCATCTCAAGCTAACTCCGGGGATCGTTTTGCTTAAAAAAAAAAAAAAAAAAAAAAAGAAGAGAAATGCTCCAACTAAAGGAGAAAAAAGGCCTCCATTCACATCCAGCCCTTGTAGCTGAATGCTGCACAGTACTACACAGTGTACACACATGTATTTATTAGTCAAAAGATCACAAGTTCAAATCTTGATGGAATCAGATGAATACAACAATGATAGGGGCTTCATAGTACACACACTTTGAAAAAGCAGCTTCAACCATTGATCCACCTGTTACAACAGACCCTGAGCAGGAAGAAGAAGTACTGGTTATCACACAGGCTGTGTCTTGTTTTCAGGCAGGTTCAGAACGGTTACACAGCGAACACATTCAAGTTCAAGCCATAATACAGACTACTACAGAGTCACTGTGATAAATACTCCAGGTAACAGAGAAGCATGAGGAAGACAGCCTGCGTGCGCAGTTTGCAGCTGTATGGAGAAAGCAGCTGGAAGCATTTGGAAGCCACCATAGCCACAGCGTACTGGAGTCCAGTTCTTTTAACAAGCTAATGCTATGATCCTTTGTTTTTCCTCTTCAATAAACAGGACATTGTGGTCGTGGCTCCTTATCCATTCTGGGGAGCGGTAGCCCGGCTCCTTTTCCCCCCGCAAGCCATACAATTTAGCACCCTCACACTTCCTTCCGTTTGGCCGAAGGACCCCTGACCAGCATTGATTGCTCCCTTTCGCCGAGGGGATTGACTATCAGCTTGCCTTCTCATGAATCCCTCTTAGATTCCTGATTCCTGATTGAATCTGCCGTATATAACTTTGGGGAAACTGTGGCTGTGACACACATTTAGTTTGAAAAAGGCAAGAAAAGACAAAGTGGCGCCAGTGTCATGGTGTGAGTTTCGAAATGTGCAAGTTCAGCGGGGTTCTAAAACTGCGCCAGTCATTACCCGCAGTGGCGCTTGGCATCTTTAGGGTCGCCTTTTTTGCTCCATTTCGGGAACTGCTAAAGTGGCCTATTCCGAACGTTGGTGCGACTCCAACGTACTTGCCCCTATAACTTTTCACAACACAAGTGAGACCGAAACTTTACATGCTGTGTCTGTAGCTGTTCTTGACAGCCTTTCTCGCCTGTTCTGCTCCCCCTCTTGATGTCGCATTCACCTATCACCATCCCTGTGGTGTAGGACTCAGAGACCACTCTCGTGGGGTCTCCTGCCTCCCCTGTGTTGGATCCGAGTTATGCCAATCTTTCCAATATAGATTTGTGAAGTTTGCGTGGATGTCTGCCACCTTGTCTCTGGCCAACCAGAATTTGCTGAATCTTGCCGCTCGTAGCTGCTCAGACTTGGGGTAGATTTGAATAGCATATTAGGGGAAAAGTCATAAAACCTCCCCGCGACGAAACCTTTGTATCCATCTCCCCCCAAACGGGGAAAAAAGTGCTACAGGTCCCAAAATCACTTTTGGTCTAGTCTACAAGAGTGGCCCGGGTCCACTTGCCCGGCCGGGCCAAAAAGAAAAAAAAAAGAAAAAAAAAAATATTTAAAAAAAAAATAATTAAAATTTTTATTTTAAATTTGGTAAACAATTTTTTTTTTTTTTTTTAATATATACAAAAGCTATGTTCTTCTCTCAATTTCACCTCACACTACCACACACACTAGATTCATTTCCTACGATGGTACAAGTGGTAGAACCCTCCAGTTTCACACTGTAGGTCATAGGTTCGAGTCCGGTTCGGACTTTGGGGGAGACCTGTCTCTGCCACACACACACACCCCAGGTAGCACAATCACGATACCTAGTCTATCACATATCATATACACATACCATACACACATATATATATAGCTACTCCATATTCGCTAGGGATGATTCTCTGGATGGCCTTGGGTGGGGACGTGTGGCTCTCTTACGGGGAAGCTGTTGAGGATGAGTGCTGCTCTCTTGGGTCGGGGGGTGGCATGGGGGTTGGGGGTGCATGGTGATACCGTGGCAGTCCAGTGGTTGGGAAGGGGTGCCTTGTAGGGACACCAATGCCGAATTAAGGGGTGTATCCTACTTTCGTTGGCTGTAGACCCATTCAGGTTAGGAGTGAGTTGGCAGCGGTTGGTCGAGGGTAGTTGATGATGGACGAGGTCTCCGCCAATACCACTGGTCAATTCTCCCTGGTGAACAACAAGGTACACACACACAGTTAGGTACTAGTGGAGGTGGTAGGAGCACCTCTCACCAGTACGCACTGCACAGTACTCAATTCGTAGAGGCTCCATGGTGGGGAGCAACATATAACCATACATATATAGCCCACGGGCACACATCCATGATACACAAACACACACGTATCACAAACGGCTGGGTGGAGGTCACGCAGGGGCCAATAGGTGATTGTTAGAGCCTGGCGTCCGAAGTACCCGTACGGCAAGGCTCGTTCGACTATGCTTCAACCAGGGCTAGGTCGCTAGCCCTGGTGCCTGTCGCTGCTGTTCGGTCCAAGTCCCCCTCGATACTGGTAGGGTGACGGTCCTGAGTGCTGGTCACACTAAGGTAGGATGGTAGGGATAGGGGATACGCTAGGAGTATTGACATGAGGTTGGGATGGGTGGTGGCCTCGCCTTCCCAGAGAGACCAGGGTAGACTACTTCCGGCAATCAACGTGTGCCTAGTAACCGGCCTCTACAACACCTTGGACTTTACTTAAAAAAAAAAAAAAAAAAAAAAAAAAAAAAACTACCTACCACTACTCCAGGGTAGACTACTTCCGGCAATCAACGTGTGCCTAGTAACCGGCCTCTACAACACCCTGGACTTTACTTAAAAAAAAAAAAACACTACTCCTAATTGTAGGCATACAGGGAACAGGGACCATGCCAACAGGACCAATCCCTGTGCCTCCCCTCAGGTCCCCTCCCCTATGAACATCAGCAGACTCTGCTAAATGCCAATCGGGGGATCCAGTGGTCTATCTTTAGGTGGTGGGCGCCAAGCAAGCCCAGGAAGGTACATGAGGCCAATGGGGATTGAACCCACGACCTCCTGAATGCCACTTGCGAGCCTTACCAACTGCATAACATAGTTTTTTTTCATTTTTTTTGGATTTTTGTTTTCTTTTTTCTTTTTGGCTGGGACCTTCCCTGGTCCTTGCACGGCCGGGCTGCTTGGGAAAATAGGGTGACCCGGACGGCCCGGCTGGTAGCCTAGCTTTTGGTGTCATTTTTGCACCTTGGCTGACCCGGTAACGGCCACCGTGTAAAAATGGCGGGAAAGTGTTTTGCAGGGTGCAAAAATGATGCCGAAAGTGATTTTGGGGCCTGCGGCACGTTTTTCCCCGTGTGGGGGGAAATGGATACAAAGGTTTCGTCGCGGGGCGGTTTTACGACTTTTCCCGCATCTCTCATTCTTTTCCAATGGCATCGGATTTCTGCCTCAATCATTCCCTTCGTTGTCGTCCCTGCTTCATTCTGCGAGTTCTGGGTACTGGGTATTGTTGAGTGTCCTGCTGCACAGCCCGAGCCATGTCCTCTCTGATTTGTCAAACTGGGAAGGGATTTTTTTTTTTTTTTTTTTTTTTTTTTTTTTTTTTTTTTTTTTTTAAACACGTCATGGTTACTTATAGGAGTGATGATAAAAGCATACACTCCTACCAGCACCACTAGGGGCTCCAATCAATGGCCATGGGGATGGAAAGTTATCCTTCTAGAGACTTGGAACCCGGATCCAGAATTAGTAGAAAATAATGAAGAATTTGTGGATAACCTGTTCCGAATAGGGAGAAGAGCGCCGTAATGTGGGCTATCTGGATGAGGAGGTGCACTTATGAATGGGAAGGGGCTAGGCTAGATGGCCCAGACTTTACAGAGACAATCAAACAACAAATTCAAACAGATATTTTGACGAAGTGGGACCAAATAAAAGAAAAAATGCAATTTCTCTCAGATAAAACCGAAATTCAGAATCATTTTAGAAAATTCGCAAGTAAGTGGCTGGGCGGAAACCAGGGAAGGAGAATAGGGAGAGTTTTTTGGAATGGGGCAATGAATGATGATGATGCTGGGCTCAAAAGGGACTATAAATTGGTTTTTGATGATTGGACCACCATTGAGGCTTCAGTACCTATGCGCCCCTTATCAGACTTCCCTGATCCCTTCCCCCCCCTGCATCTGCTCTTGTTCCAAGCTCTTGGTATGGTTTATAAGGGTTAACAATTTCTAGTTACAACAGTGATATCTGTCGTTATGGAAAGGGATGGTTACCAAGGTCTTCTGCTGAAGGATATGTCAAAACAGTAGCTGGCTAACTCAGCTCCCACTCGAGTCATCACTATTATCAGGATCACTTATCCAAATCAGTACTGAGAGTAGTTGTGACCAGATACGGTCCCACCACCTCCAAAGCCAGAGTGAGCCCGGACACTGCATGAAGATATGCTCTATGGTTTCTAGAGATATTCTGCTTGGGAAAACAGATTTACAGAGTTTGCACCATCTTGCTGCTAATCCTTTCTGCTCTAAGGAGGATCTGTCAATGAGCCAGTCATTGGTTGGAAGACACCTATGTTCAATTTGCCATTGGAGAGAAACTATTTTTGCTGGTTTGTCTTTGACTGTTTTGAACCATATCTTTTAGATTGATTCTGGGTCGCTGCATACGGTACGCTGATTTGACTTTAAGAGAGTGAATATTCCTCTTAAAAGATCTTTTTTGTCTTCCTTTTCTTGTTTCCGAACACCATACCCAA